CTTTTGTAGATCTCTAGCCCGTCTTTGCACTGGCTTCTCTTCATCTGGAAGAATTTTTCTGGATAACAGAGGATTTAAATGTTAATATTTAGGTTAAGAAATAGCTCTGGTGATATTTTATGTTTCAATAAATCACATGAAAAGAATAAAACCAACAGGATCAATCCTGCTACAATGTATTTTCTGTGTAGCAAAAGCCTGATATATTTTATTCCTCTGTAACAGAGCTCCGCTGTTGTCCAAACAAAATTAAAAACACATAAGTGAGTAAATCTTCATACCATGCAGCTAGGCAATTTAGATAATTTTGAGTTGAGCCATCATGCAGTTTTGTGCTGCTGTCAATATTGGCTAAAGTACCAGACCTGAAAATAGTGCAGACAAATGCTTCTGTTGGAGTATTTATCGCTTAAAGCAAAGGGCTCAGCTATTATAGAAAACTACTATTTCTTTTAACAATAGATTTGTGTAGTTGTGAACCATTTTTAAAGATTTATTTTGTCAGTACTGGAGGAATAATTAGACTGTAGCTGAGTGCAACAGAGAGGGTAGTGAAGCTAAAAAGTATTTAGAAGATAATACAATAACCTCATCTTTTAACGTTAATAAATTGTTATTCTTTTGTTATTTAGGTGAAAGGGGTGATTTTTACCCAGCAGGTTTATAATGCCGTCATTGTAGCAGGCATATAACTTGATCAGATCTTTGAAGAGCAGGAGAAAGCAGGCGTTTATCACACCGTTGTTCAGTTCTGGTGCATGCACCTGCGACAAAACAAAAGAAACAGTGTGATTAGGATTTTGGATATGATTATAAGGAACACAAACTAGCTTTTAATAATAAAAACAATAAGTATTGCATTTAAAAGACAATAAATCCTATTAAAGTCGAATCATGTTAGAGGTTAACAGTCATATGTTATATCCACAAAATACATCTACACCATATTGAAAAGTTCCAGATTAAACACCTTTACTTACAATGATCAAAACTTGACTAGATTATAAATATACCTTATTAAAAAAGAAATGTGTTTATACATTTTTTATGTAAATAAGCTCCATACAGTAAAAGGTGCTGCAATTTACAAGTTGTCATAGATGCATTCTACGCAGCTTTTTTGTGATTGTGTTTATCCCTCAGAAAGTTCAGTAACCGTTCAAAGTGACTTTGTTCCCTATTAGCGAGTGTCACTCACTTCAAAATCCAGCAGTGCGTCGATCTGGCTCTGGAGGGTGGGCATTCCTTTCAACAGCTTCTCCACCGCCATGGTCCTCATCACTCCCTCAGCTCTGACACACAAAGAAATAGAAAATGTCACAACTAAGCATCAGCTCTCAGACTGACTGTCTACTTATAGAACACCTGTCTGTACCTGTTACACATACAGTATCCAGTACCTGATCTCTATCCTGCATTTATATTTGGCCTGAGGGACTCTGTGTCTGCCAGCTAAACAGAACTGTTCCCTCTGTAAGCATGATTAATGACCCACCCTGTGTTCATCTCTGCATTCAGTACACTCAGTGGTCATTTTCTCAGTTATTATTGAACTTAGTCTTAGTGTCAAATGTCCTCCATCATATTTAATCAACCTGACCAAAACAAGTTTTTGAATCGTGTTTTAATTGAAACTCTTACACATTATATTTAAGTAAATCTATTTGAGACAAAATATCAGCTTGTTGCTTTCTTCCAGGTCTTGTCATTTCAAACTGTCTTTATTATGCAAAAAAAGGCATTATCATGGTTAGCTTCCTGTCCTGATATGGTGCGTGGCACAGGACACTAAACTGCTGCATTAGAACAAATGTGACTATTTGTTTCAGTTTTAGTCTCGTCTTTTTTCTTCAACAATTTTAATAATTGGTCTCGTCATTTTCTTGTGTTAGTCATGCAAAAAAAAGTGGTTAAGAAACATTTTTAAAAGGCACTATTTTGCTTTTTGGGGGTTTCCCTTTCCTATAGTGTGTTCTAAAGGTTTGTGTGCAGGTAAATGGTCTGCAAAAGCTAAAGTCCCAAAGATCCCCCCAGAGAGAATTCCTCTCCCAAACACATTCCTGAACCACTTCCATTGGACTGGATGTAATTTTTTTAGGGTTTTTGAACAAAACAAGCATTACATTCCTTACACATTTATGAGACATTTATGTGAGGTGTGCTATTCTGATCGATATGGAGGTCATGTAAGAAACAGGCATTTTTTAAATCGATAAGCTAAAAATCAATAGTCAATAGAAATTCTGTAGTGTGGCACGGTAGTGTTGTGAGAGAAGTGAAAAAGGTACCCTTTCTTGACTCGGACAAAGTCAAAAGACATCTGTCTGTAGGCGAAGGCCTTCGTGTTCAGATAGCGGCTGTAGCGTCTGATGAACGTGGACATGTCGTAGCCTGAGGAGGAAACACTCATCAGTAAAACATATTCACAGTCTTCAATGTCAACTCAGATCAGGGTATGTGGAGGCTCTTAAAATGCCTTGAAAGAAAATACCCTAAGACAGAGCCGAGATGTTTCAAAATGTCAGGAAACGATTAGCTTAAAGCTCCCATGATGGGAGCTTTAAGCTAATCGTTTCCTGACATTTTGAAACATCTCGGCTCTGTCTTAGGGTATTTTCTTTCAAGGCATTTTAAGAGCCTCCACATACCCNTTTAGGGTTAGGGTTGGGTTAGGTTTAGGGTTAGGGTTAGGGTCAGGTTTAGGTTTAGGTTTAGGTTTAGGTTTAGGGTTAGGTTTAGGGTTAGGTTTAGGGTTAGGTTTAGGGTTAGGGTTGGGTTAGGTTTAGGGTTAGGTTTAGGTTTAGGGTTAGGGTTAGGTTTAGGTTTAGGGTTAGGTTTAGGGTTAGGTTTAGGTTTAGGGTTAGGGTTAGGTTTAGGTTTAGGGTTAGGTTTACTGTAAAGCAACATTTAATCCCAGGAAAAGACACCTATGTCATATAACAATATCAGAAATCTAAGATGGTTTGTTGTTAGATACGATAACGATATAATACCAATATATTGCCCAACCCCAGTAGGTGTTCGCTAAAATCAAAAATCAACATATTTCTCATCAAATACCTCAATATTTCATCAATATTGTACGGTTAATAATAATAAATAAATTCGATTTATAAAGCACTTTTCATTGCTCACAGCAATCCCAAGGTGCTATCCTAAGGTTAACTACCGGTGCTTCTACAAAAGTAATCCTATAATGAAATGTTGTATGTATAATCATTAGTTATGTGGATATATATTGGCTGACAAATGATATAATTTCACTGGTATGCAGCCTTTTAAAACCAGGAAAAGACTTTTATGCCATATTAACGGTCATATCTAGTAGTAAAATATCGATGTGTTTCCCAGCCCTGTGAGAAAGCTGGCAACGAAAAATACCCCAAACAGATTATTACTTCCTCAGCGCTGGCTTGTGTAAAATAGGTCAAATCAAAATGCTCGCATGGCCAAATTGAGAATCACATCACCAGGCCAAATTGAAAATGATCTCACCAGGCCTTTCTCGAGCTTTAATCGTCGACACAATGCTGTTTTCTTTTTACATAGCTTCAACACTGCCGCCATTTCCAGCCGTATTCCCAAACAGGCGAGTGTAAATATTGAAGGCGATGTGTTCAGTCACTATTTTTAGACCGTCATCGTGTAATTCAACCCTTCAGCTGGTGCTTCGGCCGCCTGATGGAATAAGGTTATGGTGTTTGCACTCCTGGAAATAACTGTGTTCAGTCAAATAATAACAGAGCGACATAAAATTACTCCGGCGCCGCCTGGAAATGATTGGGCTTTGTGTCAAGAAGGAAGAGAACACGAGCTGTTTGAGAAAGAAACCTTATACCTACTATCAACAGGGACTAAATCCCCACCCAGGATTACCCCGAAAATAAAAAAGGCAAAATAAAAAATGACGGAAGGACTGATTCAGCCCAGCTAGACACTCCCCTATCTAAACTGAGACTTCAGCCAATGCCACACCTCTACACACTACAGACAGACAGACAGACAGACAGGCAGGCAGGCAGGCAGGCAGGCAGGCAGACAGACAGACAGACAGACAGACAGACAGACAGACAGACAGACAGACAGACAGGCAGACAGACAGACAGACAGACAGACAGACAGACAGACAGACAGACAGACAGGCAGACAGACAGACAGACAGACAGACAGACAGACAGGCAGGCAGGCAGGCAGGCAGGCAGGCAGACAGACAAACAGACAGACAGACAGACAGACAGACAGGCAGGCAGGCAGGCAGGCAGGCAGGCAGACAGACAGACAGAGACTGCCAAGGCACACNATACATAAAAAATGTCATTGTGGGATTATTTTGTGGAGGCACCAATAGTTAACTAAAGAATATTGTTGCAATATCTAGGATTTTGATCATATCTATCTTGATTTAGATGTTCTCCCAAAGTCCTCTCTCATCTTGTATAATCCCATATATCGATATTGTACCAAATATCGTCTCAGATTTCTTATATTCTAATATGGCATGAATGTATTCTCCTGGTTTTAAAATAATGCAGTGTACTTTTACTCATTATATCCACATCACTAATGAGTATACATCAGAAATGTAACTCTATGAAAGCACCAAGAGTTAACGGTACAATATCATCGCAATTTCCATATGGAGATATTGTTGGACCGTGCACAAGAGACCCTTTTTCATCTGGAGTCCCTGGACAGATGTTGCAAAGTCTCCCAGATGCTGTGGATTTGATCAGAACATATCATATCTTTGATTTCCTCCACACAGCCCTAGTTTCTCATCCATAACATTCACCTGTTTGCAACTTACAAATTACGTATGACTTGTATATAGACTATTATGGCACTACTTCTATTCTTTTATCTGTTTTATTGTGTTGCACTGTTGCAGGAGCCTGGGACCTAAGATTTTCATCGACATAACTACACTGTAGCTATGTACGAATGACAATAAAAGCCTTGACATCTTGAAAATCTTAATGCGGGAGGGGGGGGTGTTACCAGCGTAGTGCAGAGGAGCATCTTTGTCCAGGGCGAACAGGGGGGGGTTGAGCAGCACCGTGTTGTCGTTCTCCATGACGATCCCCTGGTACTCTGTCTCGATCCATGGCTTGTGCTTATTGGCTGAACGACACAGGGAGAAGACCAGAGAGGCTTTGGGTTAAATGGAGCAATTAGAAGAAACCATCGTGTCTATTTTTAAACACTCGGTTATGGAAGAGGGCATGGTGAAGTGGGAGGAAACACAATGCACGTATGACCACAAGGACACAGTTTAATCACAGTCGCACAGTTCCTCAGTCTTTCTCCATCGAGGGCCCCTCTGTCTGCACACCGTCCCATTCGGCAGTGTAATTAAAGCCAGCGGGATTTCACCTTATCACACACACAGGGAGCTCTATTGCTCGTATCAATCAGACAAACTGGCCTCCCACGGGCGGCACACCGTAATGCGGGAAAGAACAGCAGAGTCCAAATCAAATGCCTGAGGTTTAATGTGAATCTAACCTTTAATTGCGAATTAATTATTCATCCTCGTGCTGAATGTTCTGCGCTGAGTGATCAAAGGGCAAGTTAATGAGCCAGAAGGATGACGATGTTACACCCCAGCAAAGAGCATAAACAAAATAGTGCCTCCCCTCCTGTTGGCTCAATCTCTCTCTTAACGCCGTGGAGTTTGGAATCAGACCGAAGCACAAGAGTCGTGTTTAGCAGTTGCTTTGTTGTCTTCACAGTGAATCTTCCAGAAAAGTCTGACTGGAACTAATTGCGCGGTCTCGTCTGTGAGCGGAGAGTCGACAGAGGAAAACGCTGCTGGTTCTGAGTCTGATCAAACCGCTCTCTTCAAAGACAGAGCCGGGTGCCGCTTGAGTTTTCCGATTATGGAGCCATTCAAACACTTTTTTTTATACCTTACTGGAGAATATAAATGTGTTTTGTTCCTCAGTGGTGGAAAGTGATTTAGCTCTACTCCTCAAGCACTGATTTAACTACAAATTGGTGCAATTTTACATGGGTTTTTCCAATTTCTGATACTTTCTACTTCAACTACACTCAATTAAAGATGGAAATTATTACTAATAACTATAACTAATTCAACATTTGCACAACAACATTAAAATGCTGCTTATTAATTATAATAATCACCTTTTTAATTACACTACTGTGAAAGAGGCTATTATTCTGGAGACTGCTCTTTCATAACATGTTACCTGATCATAGTTTAATTCCATTTTGAATGCAGCACTTTCACCTGAAAAGAGTTATTTTTACATTAAGGTATTCCTACTCTTAGAGTCAAAGTGAATAGACATTTCATCAACGCGGTCAAAAGAAAAAAATAAGCATTTAATTTAACATTTTTAAGCAGAATACCCAACATTTATGCTTCTAAAATAGGTTGATTTTCTGCTTTTCTTGGTCTTATGTGAGATTAAAGAGAAAATATGTGCGGTTTTGTACAAAAAGGGCCTCAAATGGCTTTCAGAGAAAGAAAACAAATCCACAATTGTTTCACTTATTCTAAACTATATGATTAATCAAGAAGAAGATACATCTGCAGATCGAACAACGCTTACATATTTGGAGGCCTAAAAGATCTCAACCTTCCTACGACAGAAGCTCAAATGCTCAAATCTTCTGCATAGATATTCCAACACGAGCGTCTACACGAAAACGAAATACTCCCAAATTGGTAAAGTCAGGATTCAGATAAGCACGTAATCACAGAATAAGTAAATGGCACGATCTTGAATTCTATGTTTCAGTACTGAGAAGGAATTGAGGTTCAATCAGGCCTCATCAGGGATATTCATCCTCTCCTCTCAAGGTCTATCCTGACACCCTCTCCTCCTCCTCCTCCTCCTCCCCCTCCTCCTCTTCCTCATCTATTTCCAGTCGTCTGCCATGTCTCTTTTTTGGTCATTTATCTCCCGCCCTCAGTTGATCCCCGCCCCTCCCTCCTCTGCTCTGCTCCATAGCATTAATCTGAGCATCAGGCCCGTGGATTACATCCGGGATTACAGATTGAGAGGCATCCCATTCTCTCTCTCTCTCTCTCTCTCTCTCTCCTCTCTCTTTTTTTTTCTCTCTCTCTCTCTCTCTATCCTGGCACTCTCCTCGCCTGTCTCACTCACTCCCTCCCTCACACACTCTCACACTCCCTCACACACACACACACACACACACACACACACACACACACACACACACACGCTCCGGTATATTTTCCTATTCCCTCGTGTCACCTGATCTCACGTACCTCCACCACCTTGTTCCTGCTCCTCCCTGCTTATCAGCCTGCGTCTTTTTGGGCCCCTCCTGTCACATTTATTCCAACACTTCCCCCATCTTTGACAGTCGGTCTCCCCTTCCTCGTCCCCCCTCTTCATCCCTCTCCTCCACCACCACCTCCTCTTCTTCCTCCCTTGTCTGTTTTTATTCACCTTTTCCCCCGCCTTGACCATCATTGTAACAATGATGTTGAATCAGAGTCGTGGTTACCCAGGATGATACATCTGCTGCAAACAGATGCATCATCTTCTCAGAGAGTCACAGCAGGAGAAAAGAGGCACATGCACCCTGCGGGGTCACGAAAAACACACATGCATGTAAAGTCTATTTGTGGAATAAAAACTGGTACAGGAGAGCAGCTTCGGGGTAAAACAGCAGCATGGCACGTTGAAAGGTCTCAGTGCTCCCGTGAGGATGTCAGCCATCATCTCAACACATCACAATTAACACAATGACGAGGAAACTGACCTTTGTTGCTACTGGCAACTGAAGTCAAGCAAAGGAGGAAGAAGGAGAGAAAATTCATTCTGTCCATCTGAGGGAGGAAAGGAGAGGTGGGGGGTGAGGAAAGAGGGGAGGAATACAGTACATGCATCAACAATCAGCACAGGAAGAGGCAGGTACAGTAACAAGAGGCAGCGAGAGAGTGCACACAGTGTCAGGTATGTAACCTTTAAGATAAAAGAGACCCTTAAAATAAACTCCAACTTCATTCAGAGGCAGCATAAACCAATAATGCATAATTATTTCCGCATTTTCCACAAAAATCAATCTGAGAAGCGTGCAGACCCTGCGTGCACATACCTGCTTGTGAGTGTGTCCTGTGTCACTATGTGTGTGGGACTACAATTGGTTTTGCATGTGGCTGTGTGGGTGTTTGCCCCTGTTTTAATTGTGGTTTGTGGAAGAGAAGAAAAAAATTCAGCTGCTGTCTTGTGGCCACAAATGAAAAATTAGTCCTTGGGGGGTTTTTAGGCTTTCATTGACATAACAAGCCTCTTCCACTGCTGCAGTCCTTGATATAGGCTACATGACATGCTCTGCAGATCTAATATATATAGAGGGAAAAACTGCGAATATATAACAGGGGGCTCCATCTGGTCACAGGTCGCTACACACACATACAAGAGTATATAGAACATGCTATGCGACAATAATCAGACATTACATTACAGGCTGATGTTGACACACATTACCAGCTCCTATAAATGCGTTGTTACAGCTCGGAGAGGCAGAGGAGGAAATGTCGCAGAAAATGAAGGTTAGCTGAAGCCAGACTTGACATTACCGTGGTGCTGAGTGTGTGACGGTGATGCTCCCGGTTGGTACCCAGACTTTACGCTCGCAGCATCCGCCTCTCACGCCCTGCCGCTCGGCTCGGAAATCCCCTCCTGCCGGGCTGGAAACCAAAACCTCCAGGTGGGGGAGGAAGAGGAAGAGGAGATAGAGATGAGTGTTTACAGCTGAGGAAATGACAAATTGAGACGTATATTCAGCCTAGATTTGGTGGCGAGGAAGATGAGGAGAGCGATGGATGCCCTTGTTTTTTCGGCTCTACACGGAGGAGAGAAAAAACGGTGGGAATATTACGCTGCGTCCCCTCCCTCTCGGTGCTTCTTATCCCGCCCACACTGCGTCCTTCTCCCCTCTCTCTCCCTCTCTCTCTCTCTCTCCCTCCCTACCCTCCAGACTGCTGCTCTGGCTCTTTTTTGCTGTTGAACGCACATTGAGAGTGACTCAGACCCAGCAATTCATCTGTTTATTCTCAGCTGTAAGGCACCCTTCCCCCCCCCCCGCCTGCCATCACAACTCCCCTTCCCCTTTAAATACAAATATTAATTCTCCACTGCTAAAGCTTTCCAACACCAGACTGCAAAATGACGTCATATTGCCCCCTTGCTGCCCATCGTGTCACACTTATAAAACCAATGGGCAGTGGAGTAAAGTAACCAAGTACATTTACTAACATTTTGAGGTACTTGTACTTTACTGGGGTATATCAATATTTTTGCTGCTTCATACTTCTATTCCACTACAATTCAGAGGTAAATCTTGTAGTTTTACCCCACTGGGCCTACATGTATTTAATATCTTTAGTTACTTTTAATATGTGGATTAATGATGTGAAATATAATCAACACTTAAATCAGACTTGAGTTCCAACTGGAGTAAATTCACATACCCTGCAGTATACAAAGTAATTCAAACTAGCTGCACCTTTACCAGCTTTGAGAACACTTTAATGATCAATCATTATAAAACATATCATATATATTATTCTGAAAAGGACCAATCTGCACAAGGACTACTTTGACTTTTGGTACTTTAAGTATATTGTAATGCCAATACTTACTTGAGTGCAGGACTTTTACTTGTAACAGAGTATTCCTACACTCTGGTACTTCTACTCAAGTTCAAGATCTCAGTACTTCTACCACCTCTGCCAATGGGTGGGACACACACACACACACACCACGCACACGGACGCAATAACTAGAGGCCTTGCTTGAAATGCAGCATTTTTAATGAACATTATAAAATTGTATTTGAAAATCAATTCCCCTCCCTCCCTTTCCCAAATCCATCCCCAAGCTTGTTTTTCCTTTTTGTACATTTGGTAGGAATAAGGCAAAAAAGTAGTCTCTTGAAATAGCAATTCACATCAATTAATAATCACCATGTCATGTATAAATATTACTAAAAATCTGGGCCGTTGCTACAGTGAGGTTTGTTCTGTCCATGTGTGTGTCGGACGGCAGCAGCAGCAGCTTCCTCCAGCATGCCATGGATCAGACAATCCAGCCCCCCACCCCTACCCCCCCCAAACAAGATTAAACTAACTAAAGAGGCATTTCCCCAGTGGGATGCTTCTACTTCACCCTCTTTAAATACCGCCTGCTGTTACAAACAGAAGAGCGGTGATTGTTTTTGTTTCCGTTGCTTCCAGTTCACATATTCGTCATTTTGAAAACACCATATGGAGATCATATGGAGATAGGATGAATGCAGAGGGTTGACAGGAGTGAGCGTGTTATTGGGCAGTGTTCAAGTCGTCTTCTGCAATGTTTCACTTTTGCATCTGTGCATTTCCGAGCTCAAGGACAGAGGAGTGGAGGAGACTGAAGAGAAGGAGAGGAGGAAACATAGAACAAAAGAAAACCTCAAGGAACATCAAACCAGAGAAAAAGTAAGGGAACAATGCAAGTTATCTCATGAAATATTATCCCAAAGCTACAAAATGTTCTTTTTTTCATATTAAAACTCTATAAAATCAAGTTTTTTTTATATCCCCATCACAAATCAAAAAACAAAACAAATGTACTGTAAAAACATTCATTAATACAAGGCCATTTTGAGTTGGGGATTAGTGTACAGTGTGTGATTTACAGTGCTTGTATAACCACTGGCAGCCATTTTCAAGAAATATCACCTCCTGATAATTATTATTAATATCATTATTATTATAATTAGGTCTTTTTGCACAAAGCATTTTTGTTTTATTACATCAGAAAAAGCCACATGTGCTGGCGCTGTGCTTTAACCTTCTGTGAAGTCTCGCTGCTGCAAAATGTGGGCGGTAGACGTGAGAGAGAAATGAGAACAAAAAACAAATCGGAGCCGTTGACTCTGAACCCGTTACTGGTGAGTGCAATTCTGTGTCGACAGCATGAAAGTCTCTCAAGTTCAACAACAAGTCCAACGTTTCTTTACAAAAACAAAAAAAACAGGAAATCGCTCCTGATTGGCTCACAATTACCCCATGTGGCACGATGGTAATTTCCTGTAAACATTTCTCCGAATGTTTATAAAAAACACCCTTCCCGTTTAAAACACAAAAATATATAGAAATTTATTTTTTCATGGACATATATATTACGAAAGGCCTTAAAATATGTTCCATTCTGCTCATCGAAAGTCGCAGTTCCCTTCAGTGGATATTTAGCCTAAGTTGGACCTGGAACGAAACAGATATTTAAAAAACGGATTATTGACAGTTCAATCATTACTGAAATGGTATTGCATACAAAAAGTCCAGCATTTGCTTACCATGACGTACCAAGTTTTAATCCTGTTTTATCTCGCTCCGTTCTTTCTTAGGCACCAGCGCCTTTCGGAGATGTGGCATGGCTAAATAGCCTACGAGGAAGAATACGTGACCACAGAAATAGATGGACGAATACACCTGAAACGCAAAAGATTACAAAACAATCAATGGAAATCCAGATGATACACGTTTGATTTGGCATTACTGGGCAAAAATACCATAATACATTTTACAGCCTATTGTAATTCAAGTGGTCTGAAAGAAAACGTTGTGATCAGTTTTCAAACATGAGAAAATCAAAACTGTGACGACCCACTTTTTCCAATCACAGGTCATTCCTATTGGCTGTTCTATCAATGGACTTTAGATGTACATATCTCTTCATATGGTGAAATCTTGATTAAACCACATCAAATCCTACGGGAAAAGTTGCTATAACAACATTGGCAACACTCTGCACTTAAAACTAAAAGTCTGGCAATAATAGGGAAGCATCTCAGAGATAGAACAAATGCTGCCTTCATCCAACCATTGCCAAAGGCGAATAGCTCATGGCTGCAGTTTGAATAATCCAAAACTATGAGCACCATTTTCTCTCCATCTCTGAACTACTTTGACAATATTGTAACTTGCTACTTGCTCAAGGTTAAAGCTGCGGGATCATGGCTCTGTTTTCAAATGCCTACTCAAGAAAATCGCCGACACTGGAGAACCTCTTGAATGCAATATGTTGACAGGACATAGAGGAATAATTGCCCAATAACAAACCACCTTCCCCAGCTTTTAGTTGACAATCCTATGCAAACCTCTGTCTCTGTCGCACCAGAGGGTTTCTGCCTTTGTCCTGACCCAGCTATTCTCTCTGCTCACCCCCCCGATCCCCTGACAGGCAACACATGTCCCTCACCGAGCCCCAGGGTAAAAAACACCAGCCACTCCCTGTTTCAGTGTCCGAAACGTCACAGTAGCTCACCTGACAGACTGTGTACCAGATGCTGAAAACACCTGCCTGCTATCTTTTTTTTAGTAAAATGCCTTGAAGGAAAGAGCCTTAACAAAACAAACCCCTCTTTTTTTACTTTTTTTTACTCGTTGATATTTTACTTAAACAAATTCCATATTGTAATTTGAATGGACTCACAACCTCTGGGATAGGTTTCAAACTTGAGAAAATCTAACATCTGAAGGCAGACTTTGGCCATTTTACAGAGAGGCTCCTATGGGCAGTTCTAGGAATGCAGACGCATATACCGTAATTTTCGGACTATAAGGCGCACCTGAATATAAGCCTCAGCAGCTAAATTGAATGATGTGTACATATATAAGCCGCACTGGACTATAAGCCGCAGGTGTTTTAATGTTTAATTACCATATGTAAGGGTTCGTGCACAGAGGGGATTGTCGGGAAAGAGATGGCTGTTTGAGGAAGCTCCCATTTATTAACATTTCAACAAACAAGTTGCATATTTGCATAACGTATTCAAGTGTTAGCATTTAGTGCAATAGTAGCTACAGAACATGTACTGTGCTGTGTAAACTGTACTGTATCACATAGCGTTTCAGACACACAAACTTTTCAACTTTCAAACTTAAACGGTGCGCTCCCAGCACACGTACCGGCAGTGATCTACAGCAGTGGTTTTCAACCAGTGGTACGGGGACAAACTGTCTCGCTCTCGTAATGTCTGTCTGTCTTGCTCTCGTTCTGTCTCTCGTACCACTCTCGGTTCCACTTTTAAGTAACTGTACTGTGTTGTAATATTTACACATAAAGATGTTGTGTTGGTCTGTGTCTCTGTATGTTCAATTGTGTAAAGTATAAATATTACATTTGTTGTTAACTCATAAACTTGTAAATTCATTTATTATATTCTTTTTCATAACTATGATATTTATTACTATTCAAAATAATAGTTGTGTATGTGTGTTGAATATAGCTTTTGTTTCAGGTAGAACATATTTATACAGTCGGACAACCAATCTACGCCATTCGATTGGGAACTTAAGCGTATTAAACTTTTTGCGGCGCTCCCGCCTAACAGAAGGTTTCTTTTGGACTATTTCGACATCGATGTGCTGTCCGGCGACCAAACATTGATATCTCTCGTATTTCATTCTCGGGGTGGGCACTGTATGGAACCACGTAGTGTGAAGTGTGTATTAATCTAGGAAAAAAACACGTGGGACTAGTCGGGTACATTTAAGGGTCAATGTCCAAGGAGTACCAATACCACGCTAGGAGTCCCGTGTTACTTTATTACCTCAAATTTCACTCCATAATGTTTAATAGACCTGATCGATGTGCCACCCCCTCACTCGTGTCTCCTGCGGACACGGTTGTACTTCCACCCAGGAAACTTTGTGTCGCCTGGGTCCTGGTACGAGAAGGGAAGGTTGTAGTTGTTTGGTGTGTACCACCGGTCCATTATGTGTTCTGTCTTTCTATTCCGTGATAGGTACTCGTTGGCACTAACCCCTCATTTATACCTGAATCTACTACCTCTTCTTATTCTTATATCAGTGCGGTTAGACGTATTTGTCGTGGTTTTGTGGTAGTTATGTGTATCGTGTGTTGTTGTCAAACAAAGTGTGGTCTCCTCAGATTGTTCCCCTCCTCTCGTGTAGATCCTCCCCTCCTCTCTCTCGCTCTCTTTTTATATGTTTAAACTATGTTCGTTCCTCGGAGTACGTATTTGGCCACATTTGTATGCTGGTGTCACCTCGTTTCGTTAAAATATCGTTGTCAAATAATGTCCAGGTAACAGTCAAACTTACGTAAGGCTGTGCATTGAACGTGTGGTACTCTCCTCCCCGTAGAAAGACATACCTCTGGGTGGGAGAGTCGTGCGTCTCGGTTTAGAAAAAATATTACAAGTGCAGTAATGGGGCTTTTCTCTTATCTTATCTAAAACACCTTTTTTGTTTTTTTAAATACACGAACGACCTAAAATAATTAGTCTCGTGTTATGACAAAATCTAGATTATGTAAAATGAAGACTCGATTGTTGTGAGTCTTCCGTTTTGTGTTCTTTTATGTGGTGTGTTTGTTGATACGTTAACGGATTTTTGTATGTGTAACTTGTGAGAAGGACGTAACAAGTATGATCCAAACACACGACATTTTCACCAGGACGTTTCCGGGTTTACGGGGGGGGCCGGGGGGGGGGGCCGGTGGACTTTGCGGCAGGATAAACACCTTACTTGAGGAAGACAAATGAAGGACATTGTATAACTTGTAGGATAAATCAAGGTGAGATGACGATACGCGAGTTGTGTAACACCGAGCACTATCCGATTTCCCCACCCTGGTAGGCATTCCCACTGGCTTAACGGTTGTTGTCTGGCCCGGTCGAAGCAACACGCATTATGGCTCTCAGTCTCGTCTCGACCCGAGACCACAAAGGTTTGGTCTCACACACTTTTCTCCACGACGTCGTAGTCGTCATCACTCCCTGTCCTCGTTCCTCCATCCTTTAATCGTATGATCGCCCGCGCGGCGAAATGTAGTCTTATTTACTCCTGTACGACTGGTTATACTTATGATAAGTCTGTCCGGGGAGATAGTCTTGTAATATGCCCATTTTATCAACAAACCTTCAATTTCTCGGAACGTACTGGAACCGAACTATTTTATGTCTGTACTGTTGTTACGAAGTAAACCCCAGAAGCTGGATGTTTCTCTTCGGATAATACCAGGGTGTCAACACGCGGCAGAAGAATCTCGTAAATTACATTTACTACCCAATTCAAAACATCAAATTTAGGAGACGGAGGACTTATACGTTGAAATCTCTTGACCATGCACGTACTACAAGACATTAGTCGAAAAAGGTTTAAGTGAAAAAAAAGGTCGTTTGTCAACCCTTCTTCGGTCACGCTTAGTCCCCGTAAAACAACTGATTAATCAGTAAAGAAAACACATCATGCTCTCGTCCTCTGTTTCAGACCTATCCCTTTCAGAGGAAGCTCCCAGGTCACAGAAGTTTGGTCTGTGAAAGTAATTCACAGGCAAACTTTGACCCGCGGAAAAATATGACAACGAGTTAACCGAGAGTATTTTCCAAGTCGACATTCTCTCCCCGTAAGTTTCTGTGGAAGTGATAGGTCTTAAAGGTGTTTATACAGGGGGGTACATTCCCCATGTAGTCTTTCCAATACAGAATACAACAAAAATTATAGTTGCTCGTGACACAGGTTCGTATGACTTTCGTTTCTACAGGGTCCGGCGTCACGAACGTACATGAAACGACGGGCGCAGAAATGTTGGACGTCGCACCGGCCAGTCACATCACTCTTTGTGCTAATGTCAAAGGTTTCGAAAGACCACACATTTTCTGGAATTGTGAACACGTTGTAACTTATACTACTATGGCAACAGAACTTCTCCACTACCCTACATGTACATACCAACTTTACACAAATTATATTGGAGTCAACGATACGTTGTTTGTTGAAGTCCACCTCACTCAAACGATTATGTAACATGCCAAGTACCACGCACTCGAAAGGCTGACCGGGAGTAGACTAAAAGGCCAAGTCTCTCTGTTTGGTATTGAGAAAGGAGAAAGAAAAAATCTTACAGAAAGTTCTCCACTTCAAAGACACCGTTCATTCGGGAGGACAGAGATAGCCAACTGTAGTGCGAGGAGAAAGGAGTGCACAAACCGTACCAGAAGTGAAACCAAAAAAAAAAAAACGGCTATGGATAGGACACGAGAGGTACCTCAAGAAGTAGTAAGTGGACATCTCTCTGTCTTTTTTTTTTTTGTGCCGTGACTACTCGTCTACCACGTATTTCCTTTTAATTACACGTCCTTAGAGTTTAGTACGACCATACAAAAGATGATCCAACCACTATACCCAATGGAACAAAGTATTTTTGATATTACCAAACGTTTGGCTAAGAATGAATCTTGTCAGAGAAGAATAATCTACCGCATTTGTTTTACCTAATTCAAAAGTGCGACTTAGTTTGTACACTAATTTATAACCTTGAAGACAGTGTTAACCCGTAGTCCAATAATATATCTGACACAAAATACATATAGATATCTGGCCACCACACACAACAGAGGGAAGAGAGGAGAGAGGAGAGAGAAGAGGGGATCCCGGGACCGCGATCACTTCACTATTAGGGAAAAAGACAGAACTGCTTCGACCGGTTGCCGGGGAGAGATGGTTGGAGTAGATAAATTTCAGGGTCGGTCAAAAAGGGTCGACGAGAAAGTACCCCGATATGGGGATCACGGCAAGCGGAGAAGTGGAAACCCTGTTTACCGAGTTCATTGTGTGCGTAACTATTTCTTTTCTCTAAATATGTATGTTCCCCTAAAAAAACGAGTTAGTTACACTTTCTCAGTCCTGTTATCGTAGCACTGAACATCTCGTATAGTTCTTTGCGAGCCTTAGTGTTGACACAAACCCTGTTATTTGCACTTTCTGTGCGGAGTTCCAGTGCACCACAACTCTTGATCCTTGTCAAAATCATCTTCTACCATGAGTTGAATCGTTGGTTGACTAATGCTGTCTTAACACCGAAATGACCGTCAAAATTCAGCACTCAGACTACTTAGTGTTGTCGAGATTAAATGTTGTGTATGTCCAGTTTGTATTTGGAAAAATTTAACCTTGTAAGTCTAAGACGGTAAAATTAGTTCAAATCTTAGTATTTTCCCTGTACATGGCATTAAAGCCTGATATTCAGCGCGCGAAAAAGGGGTAAAAAGCTGGGACGCCGATATTACCCCCTGCCAACGCCCGATTGTACCTGGAAAAGTCGCATTGCGGTGATCCCTTGGAGGTTTAGTACCTAAACATGTCCATGTCAGGTGGTGGAATTCGAGATACCCGGATACCCGGCCAGGCGCTGGGGGTGGAAATTCGCGCCGAGGTCGTCCTTTCGACCTCCGGCTTTTCTCACTCTGGTCCATCG